CGATTGGAGCCTTGTCGAGGGAGATCCAGCTGGTGGGGTCAATAACGTTATCGACCCCACCAGTGGGGTAGCGGCGGGATGTTCCCCACCGACCNTGACCTGTTCGCCGCCCCAGGTGCTGCTCGCTGCTGTGCGCTGTGCGTGCATCGACCAGACACTCCTACAAGTGGTTGTGTGTCGATTGGAGCCTTGTCGAGGGAGATCCAGCTGGTGGGGTCAATAACGTTATCCACCCCACCAGTGGAGAAGCGGCGGTATGTTCCCCACCGACCGTGGCACCACGAAACTGTGCCGTTTCGGCCTCAAGATGGGTCAAAATGATAGCCCTGCAACGCAGCAGCACACCCGTTGAAGTCCTGCGCCTATTGGAGTCTTGTTCAGCGAGATACAACTGGTGGGGTGCTTACGCCTTAACCACCCNCACCCCACCAGTGGAGAAGCGGCGGTATGTTCCCCACCGACCGTGGCACCACGAAACTGTGCCGTTTCGGCCTCAAGATGGGTCAAAATGATAGCCCTGCAACGCAGCAGCACACCCGTTGAAGTCCTGCGCCTATTGGAGTCTTGTTCAGCGAGATACAACTGGTGGGGTGCTTACGCCTTAACCACCCCACCGGTGGGGAGGCAAAAAAATTACCCCACTGATGGGGTGTTTAACCGTGCCGTTTTCTTATTGCTGAAAATCGTATCTTGCTTTTTTACAAGGGAGATCAAAACCAGATCCAGAGCACAGACTTAGTCTATGCAGGAGGAAGCTAATGTAGTGGCGCGCAATCGGGGTATAGAGCACATGGCGGATCCATGGCCTTGCTTGATGATGATGGAGAAATTTGATAAAGTTACACCATTAGGCAAGTCAGCGCTGACTTGTTGAATGGTGTAACTTTATCAAATAAGTAGCAGATATGCTCAGTGCTCATTTGCACCCGCCTGGATCACTTGGGTGTGTGAGTGAGTAGAGATCTCCGGGGACGGACCCCTTGCCAGACGCTGATAAAAACACTTAATGGTGCTTGGGAAAGTGAGCAGCCGGGAAATGCGTACATGGTGTACATGGCGCGTTGGCCTGACTAATGGTTTAAAATTTCCCGGCTGCTCACTTTCCCAAGCACCGTGAAGTGTTTCTATCAGCGTCTGGCAAGGGGTCCGTCCCCGGAGATCTCTACTCCCATTCCCAGTGATTTAGCCATAAACCCAAGTGATCCAGGCGGGTGCGAATGAGCCCTGAGCATATCTTTTTTTTTATATAGTTACACCATTACGGTGCAAATGAGCTCTGAGCATATCTTATATTTGATAAAGTTACAGCAAAAGAAGAGTCAGCGCTGACTAGTGTAGATCTAATGGTGTAACTTTATCAAATAGGAGATGTCTGGTCATGCCACGCTACCCGGTAGTTACCACAATCCTTGCTCCGTAGCGGCCGTACCGTCAGAGTGTTGAGGCATGGTCAAGCTCCGCGAGCGTTTTGAGATATTTCCAAAACATCGGGACGCAAACGAACGTCGCCTCACACCCCTCCCGGAGTGGAAGAACGTCTGCCCTTATGGTTTGTTGTTGCTGTTGTTGTTGTTGTTTTGTTCCCATTGAACTCGTGTCAGTTGCTAATCCCAAAAATCCTAGCCGAGACTCGGTCCGTGGTCACAAAAATGCTAGAGCCATCAGATCTAACGATACGCACTAGACAATTATCAAGAAAAGGGTCATACGCCGGAGGAGGTACACCTACAATCCCTGCAGTACGTTTGCGTGCTCATAACTGAACTACACGCCCGCATACTACAACTCGACTACAGCAGCAGCATCACCCCCCCTTGTCCCGCACTTAACCAAAACGATTGGGCGGGTTTGGAGCGAGTAGTCCAGAGGACAGGGTGTAAAATTCAGATGCGTACAGCCCTTGCGAAGTATGTAAGTGGTGGGAGGGTTCGCGACTTGTGCGTCGAGTAATTTTAAAGCGACAAAGATAAAGGAGTGGTGAGACAGGGGGATAAAACATGGTGTGGGGTACTGTAGTGGGATGAAGATACTCTTTCCTCCTGCAGCGACTCGGAATTTGGGTACAACAAAGTGAATTGGTGAAGTACCATTTGGGGAATTGGTCGTCTGAGGTGTTCCGTATGGTAGGAAGAGTTCCCCCCACCAGTGGAAAGAGAGTATCCCCGGCTGCCATTCTTGGGAAGAGTGTGAGACAGTAGTACTGATGGACAGAGACACGGTAGGATAGGCGCAGAGAGCGTCTGCGGGAAACGTGTTCTGTCGGTGTGTTTTCTCCCTGATAGTGGCAATTCGACAGATAGACAACAAACATGGACGAAAAAGGCTGATTTTCCTCAAGCGCAGGGATGTCGGCACGAAGTGGTAGTTCCATGCCGTTGTTTTCCGAGACCCCAAGGACGCTGGCAATGACATGATCATACGCTACTCCCGCTTCTCGCGAAAGGACCACCTGCCCGGGAGTACAAACATGATGTCGGCGTGATCTCTCCAGCAATGACGGTTTCGTGTCGCTGGGAAGTAGTCTAGACTACATGCGGTGGACGCGGCCACGATAGTCGGCGAAAGCGTGCGTCGCGTATCTGAAACACAAGTTAATCGGTGTCCTTCACTTGTTCGGTGGCGACGTACTGGCCATTGATCATCGTACTCTCACGTGTGAAGGAGGGCGTGTGTGAGGGGGTGTGGATGTTTTTTTGTGTTACCGTCCCATTTATCATGGTGACATCTCCCCCATTTTTCGTGGTGAGACGTGTACTTGACTCTTTCAGCGTATGTAGAGTACTCCCACCTTCCTCCTGCGGTGCGTGCTGAGTTTCTATTTTATCGCGAGAAGGCCATCCCTTTCCCTCGTCAACGGTGCTAACGTCGAAGTTAGGTACTCACGAGAGCTTTTCAGCTATATTTCGCGTTCACTCGCATATATAGCAAGACCTCGTTCTACGCCACGAATGGGTGTTGTTGTGTACATCGTGACAGGGTCACCTTCGGCTTCCGCCCACCGGCAGCGGCCTCATGTCTGTTCAGGATCCATTCGAACGTCTCCGTACACTCAGACCGCAGCAGACCCTGCCCCAAAATGCAGTTGCGATTCTCGTCGTCGACGCCCACGACGAACAGAAGTGTGCACCCGTACCTACAGACAAACAGTCAGCCCGAGTTACATCACGCATTGATACTCTTTCCAGCAGCACCGAATCCCTCGACCACAAACGACGAGCGGGGGTTTCAAAGGGCAACCACGAGCAGCGTAGCGTAATGAGCGGCCCCACATGTGCTGTGGAGACTTGTAACCTGTCGAAGATATTGTGTGCACCTGTTCGTGAACACCGTTGTATCGAGCTGTGTGCAGCCCCTAAATCTTGCAATCTGTTCTTGCTGTTGGACGGTAGACCAAAACACATCCACCAATCGTCCCTGGGCACCCAGCGTGTGATCGCAGTACATGCCAGGTTCGCTTTTCAGAGTCGCCAGGAAGTCGGTTGCGTCCTCGGGTTTCGCGTTCAACGCATCGTTTACCTTCTGCATTTCATTGAACACCTTTTGTACGAAAACGGCGTTACGAAAAGAAATGCAAGGGAACCAGAGGGTAAATTCTTCCCGCCACGTAACACAATGACGGGGAAGCACTGCAAGAAGACTTGTCTGCCTCAGTAGGCAACGGTGTTATATAATGAGAAACGCCGAGAACGCAACAACTCCACTATTTCACTGCTATTTCCTGCGAAGTCACATCTATACTGAACGTCGTTGGATTCCCAACTATAGCCACCCACGTTTCGTCTTCCCTTTTTGCACAAGAAGAGACCGTCCTGGTCTAGTTCCAGCAGCTTGATACTTTGCTGTGCTGATACGCCCCCCACAGTCCATGTCCGGATATCGTCAATCCTCTAGTCGACAGTGTTTGGCGACAGGATGTGCTTGGCTGCACTGGACACCGCTCCCCGTGGGTCGTGGTTGTGTTGGCAGCGGGACTGGAGGGTTCGACGAACGAACGGAGCACCTCAGTTCCAGACTCGGCACTCTCAGATGTCTTAAGCATGTCAGAATCAGTGCGATCAGATATCCCAAGCATGTAGACTGCATGTACATCCTGTCGAGTAGTTCAAAACAGTAACACGGGTAGATGGGGACTATGTGCGTGGATGTTGGTCACGATGCCGTACATGGAAAGGAGGCCCGAACTCACAGAGGATATGGATGGGTACTCCCCCGCAGAGGCCAAGTGATGGTGATCTTGAAAGGGCACCCCACCTATTCCATGCCAGAGGAAAAAGCGGAGATCGCGGGAGGTAAAGAGTGAAACGGTCATCAATCCCAAGGCAAATGTGCAACCCAGAACACGATGCGATACCAGTACTTCGCACCAGGTGCGCGATCACCAGGTTATACGTCGAGCATGTCGAGCAACTGGAGGTCAGGCTGCCACTATGATTGTTCAACACAGCTCACCTTCTGCGACGTTCTCTTCCTTGGGTTGGCCTCTTGTTTGGTCGGATCGTTCTTGCGTACGCGTCCCGAATGCGCACAAATATCTTCACAGAGATTGTGTCGCGATTTGTCGGCCGTCTGCATCAAGAGACAAACGACACGAGCGCACTCAATTGAATACGGGCCGGTGCGAGGTCATCGTGCGGATACATCTAAGGCAGGCACGAAGGGAGAGCAGAAACACCAAGGCACAAGGGTGCACAGAGATCTCACCTTTTTTTTTCGGTTAACACGGAGAGTTTGGTGCCCCTCAGCCCCGAGGTATTCGAGTAGTGTGTCGAACACAGCATCCTAAGTCTCTTGAGGAGAACCGAGCACATCAAAGGAACGTCTCACTTCGGCAATTCCTCCCGCTTCCCCCCGGCCCACTCGATTTGCGCCGTCTCCCTTCCTTGCGTCCTAAACGGCGGCGACAAAGACATGGAGGGGGAAAACGGACTGTCGATGGTGACAATTGCTCCAACGACTTATTCATTCCAACACAGGCCGACCACCCCAGCCCTTCTTCCCGCCTACCTTTCTTCGCCGTCTGTTGCGCTTCCGTTACTTATGGCCGCCTTCTCTCCTCTCCCGCGAGGCGTCACTGTTGTCACTGCCCGAACCATCCCCGCTTCCTTCGCTGTACTCGCTCCCGGGTCATTGCCCCCATCTGAACCGCCTTCGCTTCCCTCATCATCTATTTTCCCCCTGGATAGTCCTCCGCCTCCGGCTTTAGAACCCTGCCTACACTTATTATCCCATTGAATCTCCGCGTCTGTACTGCTGTCGCTTTCCTCATCATTACCCGTTTCCTTGTATCGCCCTCCGGCTACGGCTTTGAAACGTTGCCTACCCTTCTTGTCCGATCCCATCTCCACATCTGTACTGCTGTCGCTTTCGTCATCATCGCTCTTTCCTTCCTTTTGGCCTTTATCTCCGTTTTTGCGACTCTGACCCCCTTCTTTCTTCACGGATACCATCCCGCTTGTCCCGCATAGCTTGTCGTCATGTCCATTGTTTCTGCTCCTGTCTCCACCATCCTGAAGGCCACCCCTGTCGACACTCTCTCCTGCAGACGTACCGCCATTGTTTGTTGCGACGGGAATCTGGATATTTTCCTCCTCCTTCGAACTGTTCTCAGGTGAGACCAATTCATTGTCGGATCTCCCTCTCTCTCCTGCAGGTGACCCTTTCCCCGATGCAACATGCGTTCGGGCATACTTGACTTCAACCTCCACGTATCGCGCCACCATCGTAACGATGCTCTCGGCGTCGTCCGCTAACACGTCGTATGACTCAACTTCTTTTTGGTCGACACCCATGTTAACCTTCATCGCAGTTCCGTACCCTGGTTGCTTCACATTCCAACGACCATAGTGAAGGCGAGTGCCGAGTACGATGTCCAGGCACCCCTGCACGAACGCATGCGGAAACGCGCAAGATACACTAAATAGCAACGGATGTAGGTTCTTTGGACAAGTGCTGGTGGCGAAACGCGACAAGGCTGTAGCTCATGGAGCTGTCCTCATACCTTCTGCGCCACGTCTGTTTGACATGATAAATCATGGCTCATCGAAGAAATCCGCATGAAAACCTGCGCCTGTCATGTCTTCTCTTCTTGAAGCCGTGCTTTCTTCGACATTTTCTGTGCCCTCCGTCGCAGCTTCTGTAACACCTTGTCTCCATTCCTATCCTTGCCCACCTTGGGGGCGGTGCTGCCGTCAAACCCGTTGCTCTGCTTCCCTTCTGCCTCCTGCCCGTTCCCGGAATTGACACTCGCCGTGGCATCCCCTTTGCCACCAGTCTTTCCTCCGCCCCCACCCTTTTTCACCGCCTTGGCATCCCCTTTACCACCAGTCTTCCCTCTGTTCCCAGCCTTTTTCTTCCCTCCCCTTCCCTGATCTTGTTTTCCTTTCGACTCTTGTCCGTTCGCGGGCTTCGTTTCCTTGCTCGCGCCGTCCTTGCCGCCGTCCATGTTACTGGTGCTCCGGGCTTTTTGTTGCTCTTCGCGGGACCTGGCCTCTTCGGCAGCGGCGTCCGCTTTCCGCTGTGCTTCTTCTCTCGCCTCATTCTGATGTGCACGACAAGACATTGGTCGCAAAAGAGCACGATATACTTGGAGCTTCAATCACTCAACGAGCGCTGACAAGGTCCAAGAGTTTGCTTGTCTTTTTGTTTGATCATGGTTTCTAGACGTTCGACGTGTTGAAGCAGATACACATACGCCGATATGTGTCACAGAGGATGTGTGCTGCGCGCACCAAGCAATGCGCATACTTGCGGAAATGTTGCGAAACCGCTGTGCAAGTGTTGGGGAAACCTACTTGAGATTCGATCCACCACACCGCATTTCGACGTGCTCACCACGCGGATATCGAACGCCTCCTCGTTTGCTTCTGCGGCATGCTCCGCACACTGAAACGGTCTCTGCCAACACAAGNACACATACGCCGATATGTGTCACAGAGGATGTGTGCTGCGCGCACCAAGCAATGCGCATACTTGCGGAAATGTTACGAAACCGCTGTGCAAGTGTTGGGGAAACCTACTTGAGATTCGATCCACCACACCGCATTTCGACGTGCTCACCACGCGGATATCGAACGCCTCCTCGTTTGCTTCTGCGGCATGCTCCGCACACTGAAACGGTCTCTGCCAACACAAGAATATTCATCGGATGACGATGAGGTGAGGCGAGGGCAAAGATGTCACGGAATGGTTATCGCCGAATAGTTAGTCTTCTTCTGTCCAACGCGCCAGAACACGCGTCTAAGGTTCCCTGAGAACGTTCGGGGTGGGGCAACATCACGAGGCTTGTGATGAGCCTCTCTCATTCACATTTTCGAACGTACTCGACGCTAACCGAGAGTCCCCCACCGGCCCGACCAGCAACCAGCGTGCCCTCGCACATTAATCGGAATTCTTGCAGCCACTTACCACATGATAGCTCATGATGCGTTCGAAGTCAGCATCGCACCTCTCGAAGTAGNCGATGAGGTGAGGCGAGGGCAAAGATGTCACGGAATGGTTATCGCCGAATAGTTAGTCTTCTTCTGTCCAACGCGCCAGAACACGCGTCTAAGGTTCCCTGAGAACGTTCGGGGTGGGGCAACATCACGAGGCTTGTGATGAGCCTCTCTCATTCACATTTTCGAACGTACTCGACGCTAACCGAGAGTCCCCCACCGGCCCGACCAGCAACCAGCGTGCCCTCGCACATTAATCGGAATTCTTGCAGCCACTTACCACATGATAGCTCATGATGCGTTCGAAGTCAGCATCGCACCTCTCGAAGTAGGATTCGGCCTGTCGATTCGCAAGGAACACAGGCAAAGCAAGCGGTGGACGTCAACTACGTTACGTCTCGGCACATGCATCGTTTTGAATCGTACGGAAGATCATCGTGTACGTGGCCAAGCAACTCAGGGAGGTGGGCAAATATGCGTGGCCATAACGAAAATACAACGTTATCACTTACCCTAGAAAAAAAGCTCCGAACCCTCACGCTGTTATTGGCGTCCGTCAGCCTCCGGTGGACGTCCTCTTCCTCGTCCGCCGTCAATTTGTTCAGCTCTGGGCCAAGCATAGCGTCTTGTACCTGCCGCTTTGAGGCCTTGACCGCCTCCTTGGCTTGACTCTTCAACATCCTGAATTTCCTTACAGCGCGGTCCTTCGCGACGATGGCGGTGTCGTCGGACACGGTAACGAAGTGGTTAAGCTCGGGAAGCTGGTTTTCCACGTACTCTAGGTATCCAGTCGCATTGTCGAAGGGCGGATGATAACTGGAGTTGTAACCCATGGTCATGGCGACGTGAAGCGTGGATCTTCGCGCCGTTTCCCACGCCGGTAGAAAATGCGTGTGCTTCCAAGGTCCTCCCTGAGCGTTGTTGAAGGTGTTGACTGCAACAGACCGGGCGCGAGTGGAGACGGCAACGAAATGCATTGCGAAAACGACATCACGGAATTGTCGTTAGCGTGTCCCCCACCCATTTTCCTTCGTTTTCCTTTTCCTTTCGGGTATTGCATAGCTTGTCCAATTCGTACGTGAAAAATGGGCGGGTCATCGGCAGGCACCCAAGGACGGACAACGATCCTACCGCACTACGATCATATTACACTCTCTTAGCTGACCAGTGTTGCTGCGTGTTGCGGCGAAGTGATGAACTGTTGCGTCGGATGGACTTACTTCGATACCAAACCGGTGACAAATGGGTGCTAAATATCTCTATACGAGNCGGAATTGTCGTTAGCGTGTCCCCCACCCATTTTCCTTCGTTTTCCTTTTCCTTTCGGGTATTGCATAGCTTGTCCAATTCGTACGTGAAAAATGGGCGGGTCATCGGCAGGCACCCAAGGACGGACAACGATCCTACCGCACTACGATCATATTACACTCTCTTAGCTGACCAGTGTTGCTGCGTGTTGCGGCGAAGTGATGAACTGTTGCGTCGGATGGACTTACTTCGATACCAAACCGGTGACAAATGGGTGCTAAATATCTCTATACGAGTCCAGCCTTTCAGCTAACACACTCACATGGCAGAAACACTCGCAGAGGAGAATGGACGACTGTGGCGAGTATCGGAACGACAAATTGTTGGAGCCATGCCCGAGGCTTTGCTATGCTCCGCAGCTGCGCAAGGAACATCAGCCGCGCGCAGTTTGACGACCCGACGTGCCAGTTGTTGTCGACGTCGGGCACCACATGCCACTCGTTCTTCTCCAGCCTTTCCCGCACATCCGACGTGTAGTTGTACCATGCCCCGAAATGGTCATCCTGCTCCAGCAGAAATAGCTCCATGTACTTTAGCCCTTACAGCACGACGCTGAGTCGAAGCTTCACCGCCATTGTCTGCACTGCACTTCTGACTCCTCGACCTCCCTCCTTGGCGAAGAATGCCGCCACGGAATTCAACAAGCAGTCGCCGTTGCCCTCGCTCCCGAACGGAGTGCCCACGCCCCCACCATCTTCGGGTTCAACCCCGTTAAGGAGAGCCGCGGTGAACTTGTCTTTAAACAGGCCCTTCGCCTGAAGCTCCTTTGCGGTCTGGACGGGAATCGAGGAGGATACATTACGGCCATAAATTATCAAGTTTATCGTCAATGTTGAGAACACTACGATAATGAAACTGATCATGAATTAATCATGAAACGGAGAGCGTACCTGTAAGTTCACCAGGTACCTAACTGACATTTGGTGAATGCCTGCATTTACCCTGTCTACTCCCCGCATGAAACCAGCGACACGTATGGAGCACGAATGGCACAACAGAGCACAAAAATATCTACCTACAAGGTGGAATTGACCATGCTGCTAAAAGTACATCACACTTCAATTCCTCCGATACGAAGCTGCTACCCCATCTCCATACAACAACGTTGTGCAGATGATTTGCAGTGCGGTTTTGCAGTCCGTTCGCGGTCCGTTTGCAGTCTGGTGAGAAAAACAAAAAACTATCAATGACAAAGATGGACTCGTTGTGTCATATTAAGAAAAATACAAAACTCCTTCGTCGATCATTGTGCATGGAGCATCAATCATGGACCCGACCTTACGCACACACCTGGGATGCATCTGGCAGCAGCTCGCCGTCAGGATCTTCCTGCTTGGACACCCACTCCGTCACCTTCTGCAGTCTCTCATCTTCGGCAGGTATGCCACTCGTGTCAGGAGAAGACGGGTGGTAAAGTCGAGCATCCCACGGACCTTTGCCAGCACCTGAAGCTGAGAGTTCGCCATGGATGTTGCCGGTGATATGCGCTAATAGCTACGCTGGCGTATTGAGTGGGCCCGGGTTCGGTGCTGATACTCTGGAGTCGTGGTCCCGCAGAACCGATCAGCGACCGCAGGTTCGCATGTTTTCACTCATGCGGCGGGATTTTTGTACGGCCCCCCCCCCCCCCTTGTGACGTGTGTCTTGCCGGTTGTGCTGCAGTGGTGCAGTGGTGCAGAGCTGCTGTGTGCGGTGTGCTGTGCGCTGTGTGCTGTGTACTGTGTACTGTGTGGTGTACGCGGTGAGTGCATGGACAGCACGCTCTAACCATGGCGCTTGTGCTTCGATTAGAGCGAGATACCGCTGGTGGGGTGTTTAGCCTGATCCACCCCGCCCGTGGGGCATGGACTATGCGTGGTTTACCCCACCGGCCGTGGCACCACCAAAACTTTATCGTTCGGCATCACCATGGATCCCACGATAGCCCTGCAACGCAGCAATACAGTCGCACATGTCTTGTGCCAATTGGAGTCTTGTAGGGCTACATACGGCCGTGGGGAAGTCTGCCTGCAAGAGAAAATGAATGCAGTGTTCGCTACCCACTTCGAGTGTTTCGCGTCATGCGGCGGGATTTCTTGACCTGTTCGCCCTCCCAGGTGCTGTCCGCTGCTGTGCGCTGTGCGTGCATCGACCAGACACTCCCATAAGCGGTTGTGTGTCGATTGGAGCCTTGTCGAGGGAGATCCAGCTGGTGGGGTCAATAACGTAATCGGCCCCGCCAGTGGAGTAGCGGGGGTATGTTCCCCACCGACCGTGGCACCACGAAACTGTGCCGTTTCGGCCTCAAGATGGGTCAAAATGATAGCCCTGCAACGCAGCAGCACACCCGTTGAAGTCCTGCGCCTATTGGAGTCTTGTTCAGCGAGATACAGCTGGTGGGGTGTTTGAGGTTTAACCACCCCACCGGTGGGGTGTTTAGCCGTGCCGTTTAGAATATTTTGCCGAGGATCTCCCAAAAAAGTGAGACGAAATCGTTATCCGCAAATGGTTGAAAAATTTCGACATTTTCGCAAAGGTTTGGCGACCATAAACATAGGTCTTAGGCTGACTCTTATGGCAACCGAAAGTTGGCCCGACGAATACTTTTGGACTGGCATACCCCCACCCCGCGGATTTGCCACGTATTCGACCAAGACATAGATTTCTGACCATATCACTACCAAGTTCTCCCTCCATGATGGTCGGATCGTCACCAGAACTTGAAGGCTGTACGCACCACACCTGTAAGGCGTCTTTGAAGCAAGTGGTGACTGCTGCGGGGTCTCTGTGTGCTGAGAAATGTCAGTCCATGTGAGCAAAAGTAAGACTGCGTGTGGAGAATCTGTCGGGGATTCTTTAGTCTACGATAGTTTGGAGAACAACACGTTTCGGTGAAGGAGACGGCCACAAACTCTGGCGTAGTGCCAAAGTGCCGAAGACTATTACACCCCCTGGTGCACGCCGAATATGCCCCTTTCCATTCCAATAACAAAGGTTTGTCCTGAGCAGGAACTGGACCACAATCCAGACCAAAGAAAAACAGAACGAACAAAAAAAAATGCCTGAGAAAGGATTGTCGCGCATCCTTGAAACACAAAAGAAAATCGACAGGTTGTCTTGACTACACTCTTCAACAAACTCCTTCAGCCTATCCTTGACCCGAGATCACTCATACTCATTCTCATGAAACAAGATCGCAACTGCACCAACCGAAAAAAAGCGCCCGACCTAGCACATCGCCCAAGGCACGGGATGGAAGCGTAGGGTTCACGTGAAAGCCAATCTCTCGAGTGTATCTCGTTCAAGAGCAGAAATTAAGCTTTGCCTAGAGCGAGATGCTGGGTCGACAGTTAAGCGCGCCTTCCCGCAACCAAGACCACGCAACACACGCTTGTCATTCCTACATATACTCTCGTTCATATGTGGAACCAAAAGAGCATGACTCTCGAAGCTGGCTCTCGCTGCCCATCACGTGAGCGAGCGAGTTGCACTGGGTCGAGAGTGTGCCGAGTGTCAAGCCTACCCTCGAAACTCTCAACACAACACCGAAGGCCTTAGGAAGGAGCTTCCCATGTTAAACACTCAATTTGTTCCTCGCGTTCGTCGGTCCAATCGGCCCACAACTTCTTCACGCTGCAGAATTCCTCCCCCTCCGAGGTTTTACCCCGGCAACATGTGGGTGTCACGCGTAGCCTCCGGCAAGCCAAGTCCCGAGGCAGTGCAAGCACTGTTTCTCCCAACTTCCCCCGGCCTCCCTACGCGATATTCAACAATACATGCCCCATGCAGTTGAACGACAAGATCCACATCAGGAGGAAGACCGTGAGAGATGGCAGCAATCCCTCCCATTTTAGGCCTTGATCACCGTAAGACAACTCGTCCGCCTCGACGAATCTCGCGTAGTACAAGTAAGTGGCCCCCGTGACGAAGGCGAATCCCCTTCGTACACGCGAAGCGGATAAGCACACAGACGGCGGCGTCATTCTTCATAAATGCCGAACCGCAGGAGGGGGTGCACAACTCGTGTCGCCAAAACATGCCACTGGAAGTCCGAAACTTGGACGAATCCAAATAGTGTAGGGAGATGATCCCATGTTTATTCGGGCGAACGATGTTTCTTGCGCTTCGTTTCGGAGAATACGAACACATATGGTAACAAAGATCTGTGTATATGCATATATATATATTTTGTCTTACTTCAAATCAGCGCTCACAGCACTGGGGCCGCTAACTCCGACCCGTGGTCACACAGAAGAGCCCCTCTATACCCTCCCCTCCTGCGGTACTTCGCCTTCGATTTTTAGTGCGAGAATAGTTCAGCACTCTCTTCCCTCTGTGTACACACGAACTAGCGCTGTCCACTAGGCCAGGAGCGGAAGCGAGAGAAAAACTCACTTTGCAAGAAAAGTTCGCTTACGCCGGGATTCGAACCCTTGATCTGACCTCTGGAAGGTTTCGAGAATACCAACTAGACCACCGGGGCGACCATATTACCATTCATTCAACGAACCCCGCTCTGGCAGCGTCTCAGTGGGGAAAGGGGCAAGCGAAACTCGCCATCGCGAGACTGAAACCCTGGCAAGGCCAGAAACTTACTGGTGAGGGTGTGCACGCGGAAAAGCAGGGGCGACTTCAATGAATCCTTTGTCATCCACCGCCTCTTATGTAGGCGGCATGCACCCCACCACGGGAACGCACATTGGCTGTACTTGCCGGTACGAGTGCCTTTGGACGCCGGCGAAAGTGTAAAAACAAACAACTCTCTAACATCTTATCCTCGTCCGCCATTTGGCGCTTCCATTTCCAATGCGGGGGCATTTCGCCCTCTAGTTTGGTTCCCGGCCGGAGGAGAGCGGGCAGGGAGGATAAAAATACTATTGCATTCTTCGTGAGATTTGTGCCGAACGTTGGCCATTCATCCACTCAACATTGAATTTCTGGAGGAAAGGAGCGGAGTCTCGAGGAACAGTCCGCGCCATCCCAAACCATTCATGTGTGCAGAGTAGACAACACACGAGCCACATTGTGGTAAACGAAGGCCCGGGGCAGGAATCGAGCAATCACGTGTCGCTCAGTGACGAAGCTAACTCGTTCACAACTTGCTCACCCAACGAGCCCGAACCATCCAGTGACTCCCGCGAAACCCACACATGTCCCCGCCACCGCCGCCATGATTTGTCTGAACCAGTGGACGCATACAGGAAAGTCTTCGAATGTGTCCTGCGGACAACAATCATAATCGGAATGGCAACGCCGTGGCGGCAACGGCAGCAGCAGAGGCAGCAGCAGCAGCAGCAGCAGCAGCAGCAGCAGCAGGAGCAGGAGCAGGAGCAGCAGGAGGGTGGTGAATAGCCCAGAACCTCTTGAGCGAGAGGTCAACATGAATCACCTCGAAGGAAACAAACATGAACCAAGTGGCAGCACTAGCACGACAAGAGTGGCACCACCTCAGCCACATGACATTCTCCGAACCACCACGGCGAAAAACAACAAGGGAGGGTGGTCAACTTGCTGTTTGGCGCGACAAATGCGATGAGACAGGTTGTGGTTCGCCTACCCTTGTTGATATATACAAGACCAAAATTGTTTGTTGCACCATTTACATATATATATATATATACTTTGCACCTTGACCATACGTGGGTAACAAGATGTGACCAGACCCCACACTGCGGTGAGAACCCTTCCAAATATGTGGGGGTATTGTGGAGGGGTCCTCGCAGATTCCACCTGACAGCAGGACAATGCCTCAAAGGAAAAAATGGCGGAAAAGCCACCCGTGTGGGCTGGAGAGATCTAGCTAGGACATGGCACTCAGGCTTAGCTCCGCGATTGCCCCGATATCTGAATGTATGAAAACCAAGTAGGATGCCCGCAACACACGATGCACTCTCAACAGCGAGCGGAGCAATGGTTAGGGTAGGGGTGGGACATCACTGCCGCCGCAAAAACAACGAATCTTGGACACTAGAGGCCATGGGTGTCGCGGTGCCTTCTGGGACAGATCGGTACCAGGTGGGGGCACAGTCTACGGCATGAAGATAGGCTGAAGGCATTGAAATGCCGTGAGTGGGAGTTAGGGTGCGGGACACATGAGGGTTGCCACGGAAAAAAAATACTACAACGCTGGGGCTACCCGTGTTCTTACGGCGAAATAAAAAATGCCACCACGGCCTTCTATTCCCCCGACGGACTGCCTACGCAAAGACAGCAAGATTAGCCCGAAAAAAGACAAGGGAGGGGGCACACCCCCCCTAACCCCAACCCTTAACCCCCAACTTAGCCGATTCCACACTTTTTCCTGCGTAGACTTGTCCCCCTACAGGAGGGTCGCAAGAGGGAGGAGATTGGACAACGGGGCCCGAAGCACAACCTGTGTGCGTACGCAGTACCCAGTCGTTCAACTTTGGCTTCGAACCGGCAGCCTTGCCATGTGTTCGCCAACACATCTATCTACGTTCTGGTAGCTGTTACACCAGCTCTTGGCCATGCGGGCCACCGACTCCATCACACCACAAGGAAAATAGAAGAAACTTCTTTAGGAGGGCCCGCCTACCAGATCACGCCGATGAGGTGGCTGTTCGCAGCTAGAAAGCTGTTGAGATGCCCTTGCGGAAAAACTCGCAGAGGCTTGCAAAGGCCAAAGTCACCTCCAGGACGTGTGGAAATTTTTGCTGGAGGCGGCCCGTCCGATCGTGTCTTCGAGAAGGATTTCGAGGCCCGTCTCACAAGGACGGCACCGGATTAACAATACAAAAACCTTGTGCGTTTGACAATTGACAGGGGCCTGCCTCATGCAATTTACGCTCAAATCGTGCTCAGTCCGTCGATAGAGCAGCGGATGCCTGCCTTTGCTGTCGGTACTCAGCACCGCCGAAAGCGATGAGAGGCGTCATGTACAATGTTGTCAAGTTGAAAGGGCGAGGTAGAGGGAGCGAGAGATTGAGAATCAGGTGTGACTTTTGATGCTGATACCAGCAAGCTGTTGAGGCGAAAATACGTAGGTAAGGCGTGGACGCGTGGACACACACATGCGCGCGGGTGTTCACACGAGAGTCGCAGAGTGAGCGATAGACATAGAGAGGCTAATCTCTCCTACCGTAGCAATCAAGGGCATCTGATCACCGAGAGATCTCGTTGTGCATGTGTGCATGTAGTCCGCTTGGGCTTGTCCAGTTGGGTTTGTTCGTTGTGTTGTGAACATACCTGAACACAGCTGCGATAGAAAAAGGGTGAGGCACACAGGTACATACGCCGCTACGCACCAACGCTGACGACATATACACAGCATGTGCTGCTCTGCTTGCACCTCATCTACTCTTCGCGCACTACACGCACTCTCGTAGCCATGCGTCTGAACCACGAATGCAGGCGTCTTCTGTTGCTTTCTAGACCGCGCTCGGCTTCGAGCCACCATGTTCCCGGCCAGCTCAAAATGCCCGCTTTAGCCCGATACAGGTACACACTTTGTGCAGGCAACAAAGAAAAGGTGTACCGTAGGTGGCGCAAGATATCACACCCCCTTGACCGGTTTTCGAAGTTCGATTACTCCACGACGAATATTATGTATGAATCAAACGATACGCTTTCGGAAAGGTGGTTCCAACACCGCACATTTTCGGCACCACCACCTTCCTCTTCCTCTGCTGTTGAGGAAATTTTCCGTCAGTCCAGGAGGTGTGATATCGTATGCCCCCTACCGAATCCCACCTCAATCAGGATTTCATTGTATCTAGTCAGTCGCACTTCGCAAAGCGCACGAGTAAACCCGCAATGCCAAAGAGGGCCAATAATACATCCACAACTCAGACACTTCCCGAGAGTTAGCGACCAGGATGTCACGGGGATAACCACAAATGTACAGCAGTGTCATCGGCGCGGGTGAATAATAGCGGGGTGATCTACTGGTGAACACCCGACTAAAACGTATACACCCGACTACAGTAGACAGAATATCTACCAAGTACTATATATATAAGTATGTTGCCCAACAACCCGGGCATGCCTGGTGAGCACACCTAACCTAACCCAGACTTGCGGAAGTACAAAAATCATCCTCCAACAAGGCAGTAGGCTGTAGCATACCAAGGACACGCCACTGGGATTCTACAAGGGATGTCTCTACAACAGCAGCAGTTGTAGCTACCCGTTTACGAGATTGCGGACCCACGTGGAGGCCGCTGAGCCCGGAGAAGCTGCTGCTGGTTCGAGGGCAAACAAATTTAGAACCCCTGAAGTTTCCCTTCATATATTCCCAACGAGATCATGGCGGTGTCCGTGAATTTTGTAGCACGAGAATTTGCCGACGATGTATGTTCTGGATTGTCTCCTCTCGTCATCCACTGCTTGTCGCTGTTGAGCAACCACCCGAAGAACAAAGTTGTCATTTTACCGTCAGGAAAGGCCGGTCTATTTGCGGGATGGTGAGCACTATGAGCACAGAGCGCAGTTGATGGTTCCCATAAATATATGGACACTAGGAAGTTTGGTCAACCAGGAGGAGAGAAAGGCGGGCCTACCATGGGAAGACTTCCCAAGGCACCGCGGGCGATCACGGCGCAACAGCAGAAGAACGGGGGCAGAGGTATACTGCTGTACACACATACCTTATCCCATCTGGCGCCTCGCTGCAACCCCTTAGACCATTTTGTTGAGCAGCTCTGCACGAATGTAGGCTCCGCCTCTGCCACAACTGTTCTTCTGCTCCGGTTACTCATGGCTTCTCTCTCATTTGCCGGTGCGGGCTTGGTCCTAGCTACCGTGCGATGTGCTGCCTAGCTGCCGTGCGATGTGCCCCCCCGTACCCCCCAACTTGTACTCTATTCCTGCGGTACGCGTCCCCCCCCCCNCCCCCCCCGCCCCTTTCCTGCCGTTGCGACGATGTTTTGGGAGTGCTCACACACACGCAGCGCGACTTTACTCAGTGAACAAGTATGATACACCTGCTAAGGAAACCTTCCCATCCTCGTGCAGTGGCTTGTGCGAGACTCCTTCACTCATCTCCTTCGAAGAAATCGTTCTTCGGTGTGGTGAGAGGCAGTGCACTTTGCACTTTGTCCACGAGAGGGATTTTCAAGTGTTGGTTCGGTTTTGAAAACTGCGAGGATAGGGCACAGCATACGTGTACACCTTTCCAGCCAATAAAGGGTACCTCGTACAATGCACACATAGTGCGAGCACAATTTGCGCAGCTGCCGCCCCTTGTACCCCAAGACGTCACCCCGTGCCGGGATCTAGAGTAAGTGTGGGTATTAAGGACCACCCCTCTATTAGGGACCACTTTTTTCAAAAAAACATATCTTGCCGATACCATCGCGGAAAGCCTTTCTGTTTTTTTCTTCGTGTTGCTATGGACCTCACCTTTCGTTTAAGCCTAAGTTTACTCAATTTGGTGGAGGACTTCGTTCTACACACCTTTCTGCGCCAGGTGATGTATGCATTTTTTGTTTTTGGTGCTGTGTGATGGCTCCGGCTAAGCCAGGTCATAATATTGACCTATATATCGGCAGTTTTCCTCGAATGGTAGGTCACTATGTGGTCTAGCGTTTTCTTGCTCTCCATTAACCCTGTACGAGGCAGGTTCGAACGTTGGATCGTGCATTTCAGTTTTTCACCCGCTTTGTTTTCCTTTTTTTTCTATTTTGCCCCCTCGATTTTCGTCCAAATGGGGGCAAAAATCGCGTCTGTATGTCAGATGGAGACTACATTAACCCGGATGACGACAAAAATTTGCATGGTGTCTATTTTAGGGGTGCTTGCCACGATGCCGAAGAAAAAACGGGCAAAAAACGCTTGAAAACTCTTAGCGTGGTGTCCACTGTAATCCATTTTTGGCCCAAAAACAGGCAAAAAACCACGGGGATTTCTTGTTTTTGTCCCCGGGCATGCATTTTTTTTTTAATATTATTTTCGGAAATGCTTTGTATAACTACCATAACGATACTTGCCAGAGGAAAAGTTCTGGAAATCATTAGAACGTGCGCAATCACTACGAATTCGAAGTGGTCCTTAATCGGGGCATTTGTGTTTTACCGGTATTTTCCCCTGACAAATGAAGAATACTACGCTGGCACCATGTCATCACCACATGCACTTTTTTTGTTTTTTGTTTTTTCATCGTTTAGATCGTGTTATAAGCTAACGTTCGATACCTCTCTGTCGCCACAAATCGTCAAGACACCCGAGAACGACCTCTCAGAGCGGGGGCTCCGTTAAGTGGTCCTTAATCGGCACATTTACTCTAGAGCGTAGACTGCACGGCAACCTACACAAAGTAAGGTACAATATTTGGATCACAATCCGCCCGCCCGATCGAAGTCAGTGTGGGTGTGGACCTTATGTTGCAGAATTTCTGACCCTCGAAGTCGAGGGCTGACGGGCTCAAGCAGGCGAATATAGGCATATAGGCCTGATATAGGCACTGCAGCAGAACCAAGCACCAGCTCCGCCCGGTCGGGGAACCCTCGAACCCTCGAACCCTCGAACCCTCGAACCCTCGAAACCTCGACAGACGACCGTTTGTTCTAAAATAGTTCAGGACCCGAGGCTTACTAGAACACACAACACGCCCGGGTGTAGCTTCAGGAGGGTCCTCGTATGTCGGCTCATGCTATGTACATAATTTGTCTACGAATCCTCGCTGCTGTAGTCTGCAAGGTGTTGGGGTTGAGCTCACAAACGGTGCTCAAGTTCGAGACTTTGAGCATTGTCAGCACTGAATTTCTTTGCCAATACCTGCCAAGTTCTGTTGAGTTACTGCACTGTAGCACTAAAGGATGCTGAAGTTTTCCTGTCAGCGGAGGGTATGCATACACGATATTGAAAATGAAGTATACCACAGTAGATAACCCTGACTTGGCCGAAGGATACAAAAATGTTCTATGGGTCGACAGCGATCCATCCCAATGCGGAAGCCCTAGCTGATTAGGCAGCCGATCAGGCATGCCAGAGTTTTGCCTGAAACCCTTCTTGTGAACCCAGGCATGCCTGACTTGCTGCCCGAGAGGGCGTGTCTATGAGACGTTTGCCTGAGACCGTGTGTTATTGACTGCTCCTGTATATCCCCAGGCAGCTCCAGGCAGCCCACGGGGAAAAGCCAGGGCTTTATGCCATCGCTATGCTTTAGAAAATATTACGTGAAGTTTGTGTAGGTTTTGTTTCAGGCAAAGTGCAGGTGAACACCACGCGTCTCAGGCGTGAAATTGTACGTCAAGCAAATGCCTTATGTTTTGCCTATGGCCAACATTTTTCGACTGCGGCGGGCCTCGCTGCGTGTGCCTGAAGAAGCCGTTGGCGTGCCTGATCGGCGAGGGCTTCCCAGTGCGCTTCTGTGAGGAGTTGGTCAAGCGAACAGGACGAAACATATCCTCCCCCGGGTTGTATAATCAAGTGAAACCTTTTCTATTCATGTATGCACATACATACGGCTAGAGATATTCGAATCAGACTCACCCTCGTTTGTGCACCTTCTTCGGAGGGCGTATCGTTGTTGACATGCTTCCCATGCTTGTTGTGAAGGTGATTGGTGTCTGTATGTCGTACGCTCTGTACACAGGCCTTTACGGGGATCTGTTGAGTCCGCGTAGATGTTTTTCTCAAGAGCGCCGGCTCCGCCCTTCTCAAGCCACCTGAAACTACTCTTGGCTTACCTTTCTGCTTTTCCTGCCCCCCTTGGAGCAGGCGTTCGACATCGACGGGGTGCTGGTGAGGGGACAAGAGGTCCTACCCGGGGCCCGTGAGAGCCTTAAAGCTCTGGAAGATGCACGTGTTCCGTATGTGTTCGTCACGAATGGGGGGGGTGAGCGATTTTTGTACGTACTCTGCCTTGCCGGCATCACTAGATGGGTTGATTCATGGTGGTTCCGTTGTCATCCATTGCATGACGCGAGAAAATCTCCTCGCGCAACCCCGTAGTCGGTTGGGGTAGCAGGGTGCGGCGGGACTGTGTCCCGGCTGCGCCCAGCCGTTCGGAAGGCGCTCCAACACGGAATCCGAATCGCGTTGATCCCAGACGTGTCACTTGGTGCAGGTTGGTAGGGACAGTCACCACGTCATTGACTGCTATTCGAGCGAACCCGTTGGGGCGGGGGCAATGTTCTGCAAACAATGAATCCGCAACCCGCCTGCTTGTTCCGCGTGCTTCGCCTTTTTTGACTCTCATCTGCTTTGGGTTTGGGTGCTCATTTGGTTCTCGATCCGTTCTGATTCCTCGCCCCAAGGCTGCACGGAGGAGGCGAAGGCGAGAGACCTGACCTCAAAGTTGGGAGTGCAAGTGCACCGATCGATGGTGGCTTTGTCGCACTCTCCGATGAGGGCGCTGGCATCGGAATATTCCGGGAAAAGGGTAATGGTGCTGGGGTCCTCGGCGAAGAAAATCGCCGAGGAGGACCTCGGCCTGCTAGACACGGTTGAGTGCACAGGTTTGCCACGAGCCTGCACTCGCAGACCGATTCCGCTTTGGTTTTGAGATTCCACGCGCCGCACTGAGCTTGAAGGTACTCTTCATGCTTGCTTTGCCTCACCAGCTCCTGTACCCCCGGGCGTTGTATTGTCCACACAAAGGGAGGCATGTCACTGGTACCAAAGGTTGTCCTGTTGTGTGGGGCGCTCTCGTGTACTGTACACGGCGGAAAAATAAAGTTTGCTCGCTGCTTGTCACATTCCGAATTCCGGTTGCTGCATTGATGACTTCGAGTTTCGGCGGTGTGCATCCGTCGTGAAACTGTGCCTGGTAGGCTTTGGCCAGCCCTCACTAATGTTGCGAATCAGATTCGCGCTCAACGAGCTGCAGTCCAACGCAAGCGGTAGCTTTGCACCTCCCCATTTACATGTCCCGTCTTTCCTCCTTGCAAACTCGTGTCTCCCCTCCACAGGTAACACCGGAGGAGTTTGCAGGCGAGTGGCCTGACATTTTTCATTTCACAGGAGACCGTTACTACATCCCAAGAAACTTTCCAAGAAGGTGCTGTTCGTAGACTCTTCCTGAATCTCGTGCTTTAGCGTAATATGATTTTGTGCATTCACTGTTGTGTTTATTGGCAGTGGAGAGATTGATGACCAACCTATCAGATTTGTCAGTGCGGTTTTTTGGCGCCATCCACGTTTTGTCTTTGTGCGCGTCAAAATATCTCGCCGCAAGACCAAGCGGGCAACTACTACACTGCCGGCTGGAGCTGGGCGGGAGTGTGGGCGCTCGTCGCCACGGGCACTAGGTTTCCCCCCCTCCTCCAATTGTACGCCGTCCCGGCCGATCTGATGCTGTTTTCCCTCTCACAACGCAGGCTCCACAAGGTTGTTAAGAGCAATCGGAGGAGATCACATTTGTCGTCTTGCGAGGGTATCCATCGAATGCTCACTGTTTGTGTTTCAACAACAACACTCCTCGTTTCCCTTTTTTTCCAACCTGAGAAAGGCTTGCCGAAGGCGAGCGTCCTCGATCTGTGTCCGCCGTAATGGTGCTTCATGATCCCTTGGATTGGGCGCTCGAGGCCCAAGTTGTCGTCGACGTCCTTCGCGGAGGTGCGCCCGATCGCGTTGTTGTTGTTTCGATCCAGGTGCACACTTGTGTTCGTTGACGTCGTGAGTTGTCTGCTGGTGGAAAGCAGCACACGTTCTAGAGTCGACGCGTTCTTGATACGGTGTTCAAACGGGTTTTGGCTTCTCCCTTGTTGCACGTGTACTTTGTCTTGGGCAAAGGGTCCCAGTTGTCGGATGGCAAGGAGTGGTCATCAAGGTCTAATGGATTTGGCGTATTCGCGCAGAGCACGTACATCCTCCTCTAGTTTGACGTACCTGCAGCTCGCGGAACTCGGCAACGAAACGGGAACGTGGGCATGTATGAAGTTTGCGACCGTTCTATTTATTCCCTCTTGTCCGGCCATCTCTCGCACTGTAATCAGGGGACCCCCCGGGCTCTGGTGGCGCCTCACAAACGCCCATGTATATTTCCAACCCGGACTTCGTGTTTGCCTCCACGTATCAGGAGCCTAGATTTGCCGCGGTAAGTGGGTCGACCCCGTAGAGGATTCGGTATTCGACGTCCGATAAGTGGGGCCCAACGGCAATATTCATGCCGCCGAGTGTGGGGAAGGTTGCCGCTTGGCTCACCGGTCGTCTCGGCGGGACGGTGGCCAAAGGGTAGACGTGCCACAATCGCTGCTACCCACCATCCTTTGTGGGCGACAGCGCCTTCGTGTTGCACTCAATCAACAATGAGAGTCCTCCTGCCCTGCGCACTGCTCGCATACGATGACTCGACGGGGCTTCATAAGGTGATGTCTGTAGTGGTTCCTGTTTTGCCAGCCTGAACGTGTCGGATTTCTTGGTAATGCTTTCTTTCGTTTTCCGGTTCTTTCGGAATATTCAGGGCGCATTTGCTGACACCGTGCGAATGCTTTACGCTAAGAGATTCGCGACGAGCGAGCCAACAATCGAGGTGTTCGGCAAACCCACCATTTCAACCTTCGACTATGCGAGGCGCTTGCTGGAAGAGCGCGATGGAGTCATCCGTCCCCAGGAAGAACACAAGATTGAACGAATATACATGGTTGGAGGTGTGTTACGTTCTCGCAGTAGCTCCTGTCCCCACTGGTGAGGACCTCGATCGCCGTTCCCGGCGTCATTCCTCTGCTGCTTCAAAATAATCGTGATTTGCGGCTTTCGTGCTTGGGAACTGTAGAACGGAGGTGCGCCTACGGTAAGAGGACTCGCCTCCATGAGAAATTTGATCAGGTTGATGCGGGCGTTTTCGCGTCGAACGTTTGTTAATTGAAATCCCCAGAACCTTGACAACACCTTCAGTAGAAAAATTGATTAGCGACCGCTGTTGTGAACAGGATTTGGTGCGTGCTTGCATTTGTCAAACCGTGCCTCGTCTGTCCCTGTCGCAGATAACCCAAGTGGCGATATTCGAGGAGCAAATGCCGCCGGACCTCCTTGGCTGTCAAACCTCGTGAAAACAGGCGTTTTTCGTGACAAGGGCGGTCGGGGCAATGACGCCGAAGACCCGGCACACTTTGTCCACAACGACGTCAGAGAATGTGTCAATTTTGCAATGGAACGAGAAGCCCGGCGGGTTGAGGAGTATCCATGTGATCAAGGCTGATTTTGCACCGATTCCATGATGGAGCTTTGGGAGAGTGCGAGCGAGTGAGAGCATGTGTATGTTCCAGGAACAATCACCTTGAAATAGCCAGTGGAGGTGATAGACGTCGCTTGGCATTTCCTGAAAATGCTAGGGCGCGATTTCTTCGCCTTTCTTCCGATCACACCAAGTGAGTTCGTTAGGTGTGAGATTTCACCGAAGATTTTCGGCTACAATCCGAAAAGTCATCTTCTTTTATTCTTCATCAGCTCGTCAGCTCGAAGGCAAGGCTAGCGGCCACACATCCCCAGATTGATCTCGGCACACTGGTCGAGCCTTCGAACCCACAGATGTGTCATCAATGCAAGAGGGAACACTACTATTTTTTCACTTCATGCAGCATCTTCCTCCCTGCTTATCTTCGGTTGGACAACTCTGCAGGTCTCTAGTCCAGGGGGTCAGATGATTTATTTTGCGATTGTTTGGGTCAAATACTCGCATCGTTTTGGTCAAGGATTTCAAGCAGGCGATGATATCAACGACACTGAAAGGTAAACTACGCGGGGTGCAGCAAGCCCGTGTTGGGCGTCTCTTGGGGCAGTGGGTAGTCGGCCGTGTTAGGCCGAGAGAGAGAGGTAGAGATAGAGATGGCGTTGGCGTTGGAGAAAGCGTTGGAGAAGGAAACTTGATTAGAGAGAGACGGCGGTAGCGGTGGAAAGAGCGAAAGCAGTGCGCTAGATGCGCGAGCCTTCAACACCGCAACCAAGGCCAAAAGGGTCCCCGTATCTGCATCGGTGGTACCCATCAACATACGAAATTCTCAACACGTATCCCCGAGGATCCTCACGTCTAGAGACTGCTGCGAGTATATCTTACATCCCCCCTGCTCGCAACAGTATCTTCACTGCAAACTACGAAACAATATCGGATATCTCAACCAAAAGACGTCTTTTCCTGAATATATGCGATCAAGATTACTTCCAAAATATATGACACGAAAACCAAGTCCAAGAAACATGAATACTGCTGCATCGCGCGTGATATAAACTTAGCGCGGAAAGCAAAAAATCAAGTCGAAAGCCATATCAAACTCATCAGAAAAATAATAAAAAGTCATGCCAAATGCATCACAAAATCACGGTGAGACTCGAACGCATCCTTGGGCAAACTTTTCGTAAGAAAGTCTGCACGCTGGTACGGAGACGGCACGTGAATCACCGAAATCTCCTTCCTCTCTACCAGTTCCCTGAGAAAATGGTGCCTTACATCAATGTGCTTCGAGTTCGAGTTTGAGATGGGGTTCTGCGCTAGTTGAATCGCCCCCTGGTTGTCCTCGAAGACGGGGATGCACGGCATGCCGACCTGCGGCAACATGAAACGCCAAATCTGCCTCAAAAACAAAATCTCCTTCACTACGTCGCCTAGCGCGACGTACTCTGCTTCTGTCGTCGAAAGCGTGACGCATTTTTGCGTTCTGGAAAA